CTTATTTTCTCCACAACAAATGGCCAAGCAAGCGCAGACACTGACAAGATACACGATACAGAACGAGACCAAACGCGATAATGCACCTGTATGTGTGTGCAAGCATATGTGGTCATCAGGGTTGGGCAAAATTCAGTTTATTAGGAATTGGCTTCCTTTTACTGGGATAGAAATTCAGTTGAATTGGTCAAACCCCACAGGAAGTTGAATTGGAATTTGAATTAGAATGAGAGGAAGAGAAAATTAGTGAATTGCAATTCAACATAGTCACACAAAAGATTAATTTAATTTCCATTTCATTAGTTAGTATGATTTGATTCAATTAATTATAACTAATTATGCCTGTTTATTCTGTAATATGCAGAACATTTATCAACTAATTAGGCATATTTCTCTAAATGAGAAATAAAATTACTCTCATTGTTTCTAGTTTTCTGTTTGCAACACAGCACCAAATTTTCCACCATATAGCTTTCATATAACTTTCGAAACTGTGAATATTGGCATAAATTTGCATCTCTTGAGTATGTATTATTTGTTATATAGCTCTAGAAAAACCAGAAACAAGCATTTTCTGAAGGCCGTTTTGAAACTACTGTATATGTGTCAGGATTCTGGATTGTCTGTCATCTTTTGCCCGTTTCTGTTCCTGTTTGTCCTTATTTGGTCATGTTCCGTCATGTTCCTGTCCTTGTCTAGTCTGATTGTCATATGTGATCCACCTGTGTTTCTCCAATTATCCCTTGTATTTAAGTTGCCTTTGCGTTCTGTGTTTGTCGGGTCTACTGTTTATGCACGTGTGTTTGCGCCAGCGCCTATTGTGTGGATTTCCCCTGTGTTCTGTGGATTAAAGACTTTTTACGTTTACTCGTGCCTCCTGCATGCTTCCTAAACAGTGTATTGTGACAATATGTATTGTGAAATCATCATATATTGATTGTTTTTATTTATTGTAATGTAATTTTTTTTTTTACCAGAGGGATTAAGGTAATATACAGGTAAAATATAAAATTATTTAAATTCAAATCCATGTCATGTCAATGTTTTACTATTAAAATGAGAATTTCCATAGGGTATATTATATATGTACACATAGATAATATAAATTCACATCATAAATTTAAATTATACAGCTTAGGTGTTAAGAATGCAATATCTGTCTTTGTGCACGTATGATTTAATTGTATCCAACTTGATTATTATTTCAATAAAGATTTAAATGTGTATAAAAACACTTTTATAGCAGTTACAGGAATTTCTCTGAATTTCATCCCACACTAGTTGTTCTTTTTTAATGAGTAAATGTGAATTATAATGCACTCTGTCTGCTACCTCAATTCAAATTCAGGAACTGAAAGGCATTCTCAGTTTAGTTCTTCATGGCACACAATGCTGATGATATACCTTCCCCTGATTAGGAACAAATGTCACTGCAAGGAACACCACACAATGGGGAGAGGTTGCCGTTAGCCACAGGGTACATTAGCATGGAAGTGAGACCGAGAGAGAGAAGTCATTGTTAAGATAGCATGCAATATGTTTTCTTCACCTAAACTATTGTGGGGGAAATTAGCATAATGCTGGCCTGGCGAGGATTTTTCTTAAAAAAAAAAAAAAAAAGGGGGTGGAAGGCACTGCAGTGAGAAGGAACAGAGGAGCAGATCAGGACTTAGAGCTGGAACAGGTGCAAATGCACAGCACAAAGAAGGCAAACAGAGGAGTCAGTGTTCAGCTCTGTCAGAGGAGTGAAATATTTAAGGGATTTGGAAACAGTGAGCGTTCTTAGGCCCCCCCAGCCATCACTGTAGACTGCTGTGCTTGGCCAGAAAAAAGAGATACTGAGGGAATGGCAAGGTCTGTGTGATTCTGTGTCCCTCCTTGACCCAAGCGTCCCTAAAACCAACACAGATGATTGAACTTTTATGCTTTTGCAAGTAAGCTGTTATCTTCCATGCAGGGTCAGATGAAATGACAAATTCTTTAAGACAGGTTAATGTAAAATGCATTTTCTTTACATCGCTCCTTTGCACACATTGTGTGGCTTTGCTTCTCACAGTCCACCTTGTATGGCCTTCAAGTATGGACCACTAAAAAAGCTTTACCCCTAAAGAAATAAATAGTAGTTTAGAAGAAGCTAGTCACATCAGTTGCCTAATACAAACTTTCTTTCATTTGACATGGAATTTAATTTACAATACTTGAGAAAGCTATCCATTTGCATTCATCTCAATTGCAGTACTCCCTTAAAGTACACACGTACGTACACACACACACACGTACACACACACGTACACACACACGTACACACACACGTACACACACACGTACACACACAAATTGAGTAGGTTTTACTTTGAAACATATTTCACTCAGAAATTGCTAGTAAGTTAAAAAGAAACAGCAAGTAGCACATCGAATTAACATTTTTGAAGTATTAAGGCTTATACTCAAATAAACGATGTTGTATTGGCAGCTTTGAAAAAAAAAAATGTTTACAGTGTATGGCACAATTGTTTTAGAAGGAACTGTGTTTTAAATTTCTTTTTCTTTTCTTTTCTTTTGTCCACAGTTCATGTAATAGCATCAACCAGCAGGCGTTAGGGCCATGCTAATCAGTCAAGCATTGCTAGTTTTCTGATTAACATTTTTTTTTCACTCATTGATCATGTTTCATACCTGATGAGCTTACATTTATAAATGAAGTTATAAGGCTCAAAGAAAAGAGCTTTTTCACAAGCATTAGGTCTTTTAAAAATCACACAGAACAACTCAATGAAGCACTTGAATGAATGCATTACCTGCGTTCAAGAAATTAAGTGACATTAAACAATAATTCTAAAATGGCAGCACTGCTATTTTAAAATGCATATTTTTCATTCATTCCTGAAGTCTTGTTGTCATTTATATATAGCAAATAAAACTCAACACGTGTGTCACAGATCGGCCAGGCTCAGCCACCTCCCAATCACAGCAAACACCATCACCTGAGTACTGATCACACGCACCTGTCACAAATCTGCAATCATCATCAGCTCCCCTTCAAAAGCACACACCTCACTTCACTTCAGTGTCTGGTCTCATCTTAACAAAGTGGATTATCTCTATGCTATCTGTGAGATACAGTGAAAGACTTACCTGTCTGTTATACTTTCCTCCTGTGTTTCTGCCAGTGTGGTCTCCTGTGTTCCAGTCCGTTCCAGTCATCAGCTCTGTGGAAATTCTGTGTACTCATCAGCTGAGGTGTGTGCAGTCCTCCTGTCTCCCTTCCACGATCTCCTGAGGTCCAAATATGGTGTTACTCTCCTCATTCTCCCTAAAGACTGACATAAAGCTCAAATACTCACCTGCCTGTACCATATGCATCTCTTGCTGAAAATAAACACCTTTGTATTTTTCTAATCCTCTGTGTGACAATCTGTCACACAAATAGTGATTAAAACAAATTTAACAAAGAAATAAAGGGGTGAATTCATTCTGGTCTTATTGTTAGATCATTATGATTAATAACTTCGTCACATTTCTCTTCTCACACACTGCGACATTGTTTAGAGCACAGACACCCTTATAGTGTCCTTCAGCTCTGTGATGTGTTTCAAGCTGATTTGTGTGGTGAAATGGTCTCATGTGCTTACCAGCCACTGCTTTCTCAGATTGGCTTGGGCTGGATTAAATGTTGACAATTCAATGTTCCAATTTGGAAGATTCTGTACTCTGTAATATTGAGAGAGTATATTCTTCTGTCTTTAAAAATGTCTGAATTCTTAAAATATTTCTGTGGACACATTTCAAGTGGAGATTCAGGGTCTAGGCAGCTACAGTACATTTCAGAAGGGCTCTATAGATTATGAAAATGTTCAGTATGAATAACATTTCTGTCAAATACCAAACACATGATTTTGTGTAGTGTACTTTTTTCACAATTGTTGATCCAAATAAATATATTTTCATCGCTGGCAACCAAGAGGATGCAGTTTATGTAAGTTTTCAATAGACTGTAGGTAAATCTTCATCTTTACTTTATTATAGTGTTATTTAGTGTTTGTATCACGTTATAGTTTTACCACGGCTAATGATTCAGTGCGTGCATGAACTGTCTAAATTATTCAGAATAAATTGCGAACTGATTTAGACCATTTTACTAACTGGTTTGACAGATTCTTTGAACAGAAAATACTCGAGTGAATCATTCACCAGTAGGGCTTGATAGTTAGTCTAAACAGCCACTATGGACCGAGCTAATGAATGGTCCATGCAGCAGTCTTCAAATGAGTAGTGCTGTTTAGAGCCATTAAGGAAGAAGCTGTATGTAGACTATATATAAGTTCTGCTCATATATAATCCATTATTGCACAAACAAATAGGCTACTCAGTGAACTATTCAAATTTTATTTATTTTTTATTTTTTTTTTGCATCTGGGTGTACTGCAAATCAAAAAAAAAAAAAAAAACTTTTTTTTTAAAGTTTCTGCTATTTAAAATTATCTGTAGCACCTATAGCTTATACAGTCCTTAGGTTTGTTGTCAAGCTGCATGCTAGTGTTAAATGACTGATGAGATACAGTGCCTGAGGTTGCTGTTGTTTAGAAGGCGAGGCTCATCGAGTTCCTTCAAAAATTTCTGCTTTTAACCGTGAAAAGTCAAAATTGCTCTCTTACTTTTTGCTTTGTCTGTGACGGTGTAGCCTCTGCTGTCCTGCTGCTGGCAAGAGTACAAGCACATGACATCTCAAGTACTGCTTTTGTTCTTCAGACACAGTTGTACATTTTACTTTTGGACAATATGAATGGGAGAAGGATTCATGCACTGGTCTGCAGAAAAGTTTCCACTACGTGAGTACAGTTTGTGGTATGATAATAAATATTTCAGAATTTTTTTTCAGAAGTACAAAATATTTCAGAAATGTTTTCGAAATAATAGCTGGACCCACATGGAATCCACAGCCACAGAAAATATGGCAGATTTCCACAGAATCTGAACTTGTGCCATTCATAAGACACTACCCTTGCTGCATATGTTCATTTATTAAATATTTTGGAAAGTTTCAGCTCCATTTAACAAATTTTACTATTTTTAAATTCAGTAAATCATCATTCCCTCTGGGCCTGTTAATAGCGCTCTCTTGCATTCAAATGCAAACATTATGTACACATACAAACACAGCTTGTTCTTATGCTTTGCTCTTTTGTTATTGCCTAGGCCTATATTCTGTATTAGAATTAAAATAAATCTTGGGTGCGCTCTACTGGAGAGTCATTGGGCCTGTTATAATTATTTACTTAGACATGTGGTGTGAAAATGATGTGTATGTTATGCACAGCCTTTCAGATCTGCTGCCCAAACCTGATCTCCCCCTCTCTTTCTCTCTCACATCCACATTTCCTCCTCCTTTTGGCTGTAGGTTTCTTGGAGAAGCCGGTGAACGGGATGCAGCTCTTGGCTGCAGTTATCTTTGCAGAGCAGGTTGCATTCTTGATGTGAGTTTCTGTGATGAAGTACTCCTGAAGAGGATGTTCATCTGTTCTCTTCATTATTAGTTATGTCAGACAGTCGTTTAGACATCATTTGCCATGCTTGGCATTTCCTTATCTAGTTTTTAGCATTCCAGTTGGTGGAGGCCTATTGTCACTGAATGCCAAAGGGACATTGCAGGGAAATGAGCAGTTTGGAGAGTATAAGAACATTAGTTGAGTAACCAAATTAGGTCTTTGGTGAAGAACAGATCGACTGTATGTATTATCAAAATTACTATTGGTACACATGGGATATTTTTAAAACAGAAGCATGCATACAACAACAGCTCTAGAAAAGAGGCTCAGGCTCCAATGCACAATGCACAATATCACTGTTTACTCTTTCTGTCTCATTAAATCAGTTTTACTCACACTGTGATGTTTAAAGCCATCACATGATACTTAATCTAATGGTGTTTGAATGTAAAAACAGACCACAAAATCACAGCTATTTAAAGTATTAATTAAATCCAGTTTAATTGCTTCTAACTCTTCCATTTTTTTTTAAATCACTGCAAACTTGATCAGAAAACTCTCTACAAATAATATAATAAGAGTATACATAAATATGAGTATATACATATAAAAGTGAACAAATAAATAAACATGTTAATAAATAATGTATGTGTTTTAAATTATAATCAAAAACACTACCATCATTCTACCATGGTGCAACGATGCTATGAAATGTTGCTGAATCAATACGTTATCGTATACCATGGTATTAATATAGTACTTAAAGTCCCCCTGTAGTCAAATATTTTATCCCTTAAAACTGATCTTTGGTAATCAAAATGACATATTTAAATGTTTTTTCTTGTGAAAATATTTTCTCATGCCTTAAAATAGCTTGAATGTAACTCAACACCCTTGCCTCATTTACTATATGCTGATCTATGAATATGCAAATTAGCCCCGCCTCCACTCACTCACTCACACCAGCCAGTGCCTCCTGATTCACTGAAATATAGTAAACGCAAAACATTGGCATACACGGATAATGACTGATAAAACTATGTTTTTACAACTACAGTGAATACTGTAATATTCGTTAACGTTACTTACTTGACAATGTTGTGTCCTCAAAATGCCTTGAAGACTCGAATACAGCCGTTTGTGATTCTTAATTCGCGCCCGTGAGCATACATACGCGTGTGAAGTGCCGACGCCGATGCGGGAGAGGTGGGTCTGACTCTGGGCTACTTTTACACTGTTGCCGCGGGTTATAATGCAAGTTAGCGGTTCTAAATACACATTAAACCATGGCCTCATGGGTTTTTTGCTCTGATTTATTTTTGGTTTTGTGCTGGTATTGGTATATTTTGCATGCTTGTGATAGGAATCGATCCCTTTACGTGATTGTTTATTGGTTTGTGACGTAGCAAACCTAGGGCTGTTTCAAATCACATTTATGGGAGTGCCATTGGGAAACTACACTTTGAAGGAGAAAATACTCAGCAATGGTGTTGATTAATGGATTGGTACATGGTTTGTCTAAAAGCATGTTAAAAACACCACATAGACAAATAAACAACATAAAAAACTTGATTTTCACTACAGGGGGACTTTAAGTAAAGAGTATGCCATTGATTTGCTTGTGTATAATCAATATTGTCTTTACAATAAAACTGTCAGAAAAAAAAGAAAGGTAATTCCATGGTAATTTGTTAGGATATTTAAAACCAATGTGTCATAAATTGATAATTTATTCAGTCCATTGTGTGTTAAAGTACTGGAATTACAGTAGTTGTTTCGTCAATTCTAAATAAAGACAGAACACCAGACTTTGTCATCTGTTCCACCAGGCCACCAGGTCTTTCTTTGGATGCTTTGGAGACAGGAGGAACAATATTGAATATCACTGTTATTATGTCGCAGCCTGGTGGTATTATATTGGGACATATTTCCAATGATGACTTTGTTGTTTTTTTCCACAGTGGAAAAGTAATAAACTACTGTTGTTATTGTAGTGTTATGACCTCTGTCCTCTCACAATACCTCTACCATTTTATTATCTATATCTATATATCAACTGAAATAAAATGTAAAACTTGTGGCAAACATCTGAATTTGCTGCTCAGAACTTTTACTGAACTTTTACAGAACCATCAGCAGTTTTCTACAGATGACCAGAAGGCAATGTGTTTTTCACAGTCAGTGGGGTCAGGAATGGCATACAAAAAATATTTTACATCAGTAAAGATTTTCAGTATTTAGCAATTCACAATAGCAGCTCTTCATACTAACTAGTATATGAATCGAATGAGAGACTTCAGTCCATCAATTAACATTTATGAAGTAAAAAGCTGCATGTTTGTAAGAAACAAATGCATCAATAAGGCATTTAACTTTAAACTGTCACTTC